CCCCAAAACCCCAAAACCCCAAAACCCCAAAACCCCAAGTTAATATTCTAAAGCTGAAAGTTTGATAATATTATAAATAAAATGAGGTTTCACAAAAAGCAATTAGGTATTATACTTGTTGCTCTAATCTGCTTATTTATCAATAATTATGCATGTGCTGAATCAGCAGAGATTTCAGCACCAGATATAGTCACCGAAAATCTATCTGATGTAAGTAAATTTATTGAAAGGATTATTAATAGCTAATAAGTTCTGATAAGGCTGCTGACGTTTATGCTCCTAAATAGTTCGTCGATTGCAAGCATATTTTAACATTGCTTTAGATAAAATTTCCGGTTGAATTCTGTACAATTAGTACCTCAATGATTGCATTTTTGACAGGGAATCAAGAAGACCCAAGAATCGGTAATTCGCAATGAGTCCTCTATCTCCCCCACCTCCTTGACCAATCTCGTAAGGTGTGGAGTAAGATGGGAATAGACCTACTTGTACCTACACACTTCGTAAGTTTGATCAACGAGATTTCTACATTTATCGTCAGATTCTCTATGTGGCAAACATATTGTACTTTTGGGTCTCTCCTGACTACCTTGGACAATATTTTTGGTTCTTTCGAGTCCACAGGAATTATCGCGATCAGATATGTAACTAACAAGGCAAAAGTGGATGAATATATGGCAACTGTTAAAGATTCTAACCAGAAGAAGGACTGACAGAATATGTTCCTTGCGATGGGTAAAATATTCTCTTTGCTAGTAGGGTTCAAAATTCCAAAGGATATCTCCTAATAAATATTGCTAAGTTCTAATGGTTCAACACATCTTGTGATCTTTGATACTTTGAGCATTTGCTGGATTAGCTTTAAGTATTTTCTTTGTTTTATAAGGTTTTCTCAACAGTTGGAGACTTTTTAAGGGTTATTTACTAATTTAATCTGAGAAAATTTGTAAAAATTAATACAAAATCTCCAAGGTAGAGAGATTCTTAATTGATTATTAGGAATAATATTTGGAAATGAGGCTCAACTTGAATGTTGATAAATGGGGTTTTGGGGTTTTGGGGTTTTGGGGTTTTGGGG